CTCTACTGCACATGCTCAGAAGTGCCTGTGGTGTGCTGGAGAGAGAACCTATGATGTGGGACCTCTGTAGAGGAAGAAAGGGAAGCTATTGTTTGATTGGGGTTTCCTTTTTCTGTCTATTGCTCTCTCTCTTTCTCCCTTTCCTGTGGGTTGGTGAGCGTGACTTGATAAGGAGATGTTTGTTAGGGCTGGCATGCTCTCCACTTGTGGAGTTAGCATTGCAGTTAGGGGAACCACAGTGCTTTGAGACCTGATATCCCAGTTTGCTCATTTATCCCAGAAAAAATACAAATAATTTTGAACAACAACAAAATTCCTCTGTTGACCACAGTTAAGAATCTTCTTGAAACACTTCCCTCCTTGCTGACCCAGAGAAATACTGAACTGCCTTTTTGGTTGGATGCAAAACACATACATATGAAATATACTCACTTAAGGCAACCATGCAACATGGGTTTTCCACACTCTATCAGGAAATCATTTGCTCCAAATAGTCTCTCCAGAGCCTTAATTTCTTCACACCTCTCCTGCTTGAATTTATTTGTGTTGTTCATTTTATCTACTCCTATTCCCTCAACAACTGAGGGTCTAATCCAGCCGGCTTCCCTCCCATCTGCCACACTACCTGATTGTACTGAAATGTGATTCTCCTGCAAGTTCTCCTTTTATAGTCCCTGTGCCAGGTGTTGGAGGCCATGCACATCCAATTCCATTCTCATCAACTTCAGTTTACTTCCAGCCCACAGAGCTCAGACTTCTCCCAGCAGCCCGTTTCCTTGGGTGGGCTAGCTGAATATGTCTAAATTCTTTCATCCCAAGAAATCTCTCATCTGCTCTGTATTCACCAAGCTTGTCAAGCCCCGTTTGAGCTAGTGAATCAGAAAGTAGAGATGCTGGACTTCAAGTTACAAAAGGCATACAGCCGTGCCTTCTCCGATCCTGTCTGCTTTGAATGGTTCTGGAAGCAAAAGAACTGTGTCTTGCTATTTGACAACCAAGGAAGAGGGCATATTGGTGCTCACCTGAGGTTCACTTTTTTACCCGAGAGCATCAACATGTTCTGCCTGCAAATGACCCAACCTTCAAGTAACAAATGACCTTCTATTCAGAGGCTTAATTTTTTCCTGTATGATCATTTCTATCTGACGTGAAGTCAGTGACACAGGCCTCCCTGTATTGAATCATTGTTTGTTATATTGAAGTGCTATATATGAGGTAAAAGCAATGGTTTCCCCTCTAATCCCACACATTGACCTTTTTCAGTAGTCTTTTAAAGTTTGACAATATTTGGATTAGAACTCTGATGTGGGAGGTTCAAAGTTGAGGCAGAAAGTGGAAGCTTTTCATTTTGCCCGCATCTCCCACAGCTCCAGGAACAGACTCCCCTATCTTCTGGCTGGCTTTGGTGTCATACTGCTTAGACTTTTCACCTGAAAGACAGGAAGCACAAGTAGCTACTAAAGAGCTGTGTGTATGTGCACACCTGCATGGTATCAAGTCTCATTCTTGATTCCTAGCAATAATTAGAAGGATTTCCGATGAAGTCATTTATGGGGACAATGCACTCAGCTGCCTGGCCATTTTGTCCCATTGAAACCATGTCAGATGTACTCTTCGGACAAGCCAGCCTGCCAAAAGAAGCTCTGATCCTTCAGTGTCGGCTTTGGGTTAAAGAATGAGCCAACAAAAGAAGCGCGAAATGGCAAGGCTATCCTTAGAGCAACATCAATGCCTCTATGGCCCTGTTTCCTGAAGGAAGATATTGAGCAGACTCCTCTACAGCTATGCATGATGAAGGAGAGGCAAGGACCTGGAAAAGTATCAAAGACGCCACAGTTCTGAGGAGACATGGATGTCATGCTGGTTTGACAGTTTCTAAAGTGGGGCTTTTTAGCATTCCTTTAGGTAATATATTCTAGGCATGTGTGTGGGCTAGTAAGTTAGCTACTTAACAACTTCTAACATATAAACTCAGCATGGTAGGAGTTGATTTCTTGTTCCGTGGCTGATCCTCATGAACAAGTTGTGTTGTACTGGGCAGTGGCTTGGTGACCTAAGAACTTTCTAGGGATGGTGCCCAAGTAAGTGCAAGAGGAAAAGGTTCTACAGCCAGTGTTCAATCTTAATTGTGCAGAACAACAAACATTCCCAACCTAAATGATAGACAGCAGGCTTGCATGAGGATGTTTTAGAAGGTATCTAGGAGTTCTTTTCTCATTAAGAGTTTGAATTCTTGCAGTATTACTCATTCTACTTTATTCTTTAGTACAGACTCCCCAGGTGTACACAAAGTGCCTTGCCCCTTCTTGTGTTCAAATGCACCAATCAAGCACCTCTAAAATTATATATGCATCAGGATTCAAAACAGTCTCTCATAACTTCCCAATATTTTTTTTGTGAATTTGATATCAGTTTATAATTTATCTTCTTGCCTGAGGAATAGAAATGATTTAGGGTTGACTGTTCCATAATTGATCTTAGTTTTAGTGCTCTGCTTTACTGCCATAAGAATAATTAGATTTTTATAGCTTTTGTAGACTTTGGGAAATGTTCGTTGTTCATGGGTTAAATTGCATGTATATCAAAAAAATGGGGGGGGGAAGATCTTGATTGTAAAACTAGTTTCAGAGTCAAATCATGCAAAAACAACCTCTTCTGAGGAAATTCCTTTTATCCCCAATATAGTAAAATAAGTTGTTTCATGCCCAATAATTTTAAATGTGTTCCCAAACAAGTGTAGATAAGATGTGCACAAGATTTTCTGCCAACATGAATGTGGGTTTTTCTGAGCTGGTGTCAATATCTGCTTTCCCACTGCAGGTGTAAAGTCAAGAATTAGTCTGATATTTTAAATTATCTAAACATTAATTATCCCAAAGCCCCAATCAGCATTTTGCCTTGACACGGGGATAGGGTCTATTTTTCATTGTGTTTGACAACAGTGGGTCCATTTGTAGCTTGTTCATTGCTGGAAGTCAACATTGCACAAAATTATTTTGTCTGTCTGCCAAACTTTCACAATTGGAAAGACGATAATTTCAATTTTTTAAAGTTCCTAGATTATTGACTTTTGATTCATGTTTTACGGAGTGGTAGTTAAGTAAATATTTGAATGGTGTTGGGTCATGTAAAGACTTGTTTCCAACTGGGGCTACTCCTTAATAGCCTGTTGTATGTCAAGACTGTATGCCCCAGTGTACGTTCCCACACCCATTCAATGGGCAGCACTTGATGGTCTCAATGGGATACGTGCATATATGTATGTTTATTATATGCATACTTAAGCAGAAGAGAGACATATTGGAGAATAGGGAGAATTAAGGAAGGGAGTGAGGGTGGATATGATTAATATGCATTGTATGCACATATTCAGGGTTTTAAAGAATGAAAACTTAGATTGCACATCAGATGAACGCAAGCTCCTGAAAAGCAGTTTCTTTGTTAAGTCTATCCTGTCTGTGTAAAGCCAAGGCTCGTTCATGAGGCAATATCATAGAATGCTGACTTTCATGGGTCACCAGTTTTCTCAAGTGAAGTCTCTACTATTAACCTTTCCCAAAAGCTGACTGGGGAAATCAGTTATTGGGAGGGATCATAGCAGAAACATAAAGTGGATGCGTTGAAACCTCCTTGAACTTTAGCATCAAGCAAATCATTGGATGCCACATTTGTGGATTTTATTTTATTCTATGCTTCACCCTCATTTTAGTTTTATTTACAAATTTTAATCTTCTATCCTCAGCTTTCAAAAAAAATAAGGATATGTGAAAGTTCTTTAAGACAGGACTTTTAAAATGACTTGGAAAAGACGGCCTGTGGATGCTGCTCTGTTGCAATCCAAGTATCCTCTGACAAAGCCTTCCTGCGTAGATGAATAGCTAGTCATCTTCCTATGAAAGTACGCTGATAGTAAACTCAGTACATAAAGTTCTTCTCTTCTCCCCTAGTAAGTTCAGTTTTTAAACAAATTTTCAAGATTGCCTTGAACTTTTCATATTTTCTCTGTTTTTATACTTCCCTTTTTCTTAATTTTGTGTTTATGCTATTTATTGATTCAACTGTTGAATTTCGTAATTTCTATTTTAATGGCATCTATTATTCGTTATTTCAACAAATGCTTTTGGAAGCCCCAGACATACTCTGTTCTAGGCACAGAGCTAGGGTTAGTGAGCGATGGCGCTTAGAGAATACAGCAAGATGTCCAGTGTTTTAAATAGGTAGATTTGCAGCTCTCTGTTGTGAGCTGTCTCAAAATCTTTGTTAGGGATTAAACTGTAAGTCGGTACCCACTTTATCTGCTCGTATGGCACTTCCAGTGTTATGAGCATTCCCTGGCAGCATCTCAGAGTCCTCAGGGCACGTGCAGTCACCGCTGATGCGGGATTTCAGGACTTCTTCTCTGTTGCTATCAGAGGTCATTTTATTAGTCTTCTCTCCATTGGTAAGCTCATCAAATTGTATGATGATGTTTTCTAGCACAGTTACTGAAGGCATAGTACAGAATTAATGTTAGTGGTTTAGTAAGAGAACACAATTATCTTTCTAAAGCCCTCATTAATCAATGAATGTGTTTATTTATTTATTTATTTATTTATTTTGATCAAGTCTTGAAGATGCTCATAATTCATTGGTCAAAGTGCTGAGTCTTGTGTGCTCAGCCAGAAACAGGCCATCCACATTATTCCCTTCAGGGCTCAGGGAACTTTTCTGTGGAATGATGTATGAATTTTCTATGACTGTGACAAAAACACTGTGGCCAAAGCAACTTATAAACAAATTGTTTACCTGGGATTCTGGTTCCAGAGGATTAGAGTTGATGGTGGTGAAAGCGTGGCTGAAGCAGGCCTCACACCAGCATACCTGCGAGCCTCAAACACAAGCCGGAGGCCGAGGAGCACCAGGGATGGTGGAAGGCTTTTAACGTCTCGAAGTACTCTCCTCCGTGACTCCCCCATTACCCTCCTGTGACTCCCTGAACACAGCAAAGTCACACCTTTTAATCCTTCCCCAGAAGTTCCATCATCTGGGGATCACGTACTCAAATATATGAGCCTATGGGGCCATTCTCATTCAAACAACCAGAAGTGGGTAGAAATCCTGTACGAATTAAGAGGTAACTAGGACTATTGTAAAATGCTATCCTTTGGACAGGACGAAACTGTTGAGTTTATGAAATCACAGTGGTTATATGCACAAGACTTTCTGAAAGTTTGGTCCAACAACATTCCATCATAGATGCAGAGGGCGAAAAGGCCTCGTGGACATAGGTAAGCACTGGCTAAGCCAGGATTGTTAAACACACAGTTTACCTCCTCAATGGAAGGCCCAGAGTGATGTAGTCCTTCGCTATCTGCTGAGATAGGCTCTGCCCATCTCTCCCAGAATTTACTTTCCTCAGACCGTCTCCTCCTAAATCTTGAGAATTGTTTTTAGTTCATAAAACCCATTCTTATGAGAGATGTCATTTTTACTTCACTATAGTCTAAGTGACTTTTGTGTTATCTTAGGGCCAGGCCAATCCTGAGACCCATAGACAGTACGTTTATACAGGTCATTCTCTCTAGGCCCTTATCTTGAGCATTGTTTCAAAGTCACCAAGAAAGCATCTTACAATTCAAGCCATACGTACTTTGTAAAGAGGTTCATGTACACATGTCTCAAATTGTTGTGTAGCTGGGACTGAGTTAGTTGTTACCTGAACAGGTTTTTCCAAAATTGTGTTGTTATTAAATATGGCTAAAGTGAAATCATTTGGGCCAGAGTCTGGAAGTTCTGTCCAGTGCTGGTTATAATAAAATCGGACTGAACTGAGTTTTATTTTTACCCCACCCAGATCACTTATCCTTGCCTGCTGTGAAGCCTGCAGGGAATCATCACACCCCTTGAAGAGTTATTGGCGATTAGTGGTTTCCAGGCAAGAAAAAGTCAGGTATTTTTAGTGGTGTAGCTGGTAGCTAGTTAATGCTCCAGTGAAGGGCTTTCTACCCATGTTCATGTCAGGAACCTTAGTTAAACATACATACATACAAACAAACAAACAAACAAAAACAAACCACCATGGAAGTAGAAGAGAATCCTGTAAAGAAGTGGTTTGGTGGAATGGGGGTGGGTAAGGAAAAACAATAGGAAATGAGTATGATCAAAATATGTTATATACACATCTGAAGCTGTCAAAATAAAAGCCAAATTAAAAAGTTTGGAAGCATTGCTCCCTTCCTATGTTTTGAATAGCAATTTTTTTCTTTAAAAACTCAGTTTTTATTCATGAGTTGGTTTTTGCTGAATCTCTGCTGTGCTTTCTGGTAATTATCATGACAGGATAAGAAAAGGTATTTAATATGCTCTGTTTCCGATACATGGTCAATAAAACGATTAATTACCTGCACTGAGATTGAGAAGGCTTGTCGTGTTAGCATTTTAGTATTTTAGTGCAGGGAATTTGAGCGTTACACTAGGGAAAGGAGAAAAACCCAGCAGCATAAGCAATGATGGGAAGCAAGCTGTTTTACGGGGAATAGTAGCATTTCAAACCACTTTTTGGTTATCTTTTTGGTCATTCACTTGGCGCTCCTCTGAGACTTTCTGGAAGCATTTTGCTGAATTATTCATTCATTTAATGTCAGAGGTGCCGCTAGGTTTTGAGTTTTGTAGCCAGATCAGAGTACTGTGCTGACAGTTTAGGAGAGAAATAGATTCAGAAGCGTCTTAGATGGGGATAAATTACCATGAAATATATTTAAGAAATGATTTAGTACGGCATGTAGCTGTCCTCTCCAGAATTCTCAAAGATAACCTATTTTTGGAAACACAGAGGGACTTTCCTAAGTCAGGGAAGTAGGGTTACATTCAGTTCATTAGATAAGGGATTTTTTTTTTTTGATAGAAACAGAATTGTAGGTAGCAATTGGGGGATGGGGCTTGGATGACTCTGACAGAGGATTGGGGTGGAATTAACAGGAAGTCTGTCTTAAGTGTCAAAATTGGAGCTCACAGTAGATTGTGAGGGCACAGCTCAGGGATTGGTACCAAGATGTAGCTGTTCTTGGAAATACTGACTCTCTGCTAAGTTTCACGTGACCCCAGAGCCAATGACTGAGCAGAGAAGCCAGGTGGAGATTAGAGGACAGTGGAGGCCTGGTATGCTGAGAGTATCTGATTGGAAAGGCAACTGGGAACAGTACCACTGCTTCATACATGCCACCCAATCCTGTATAAATTTTCCTCTTGTCAAACATAGACACAGAGCTGAGCTTTGGGGAGTGCAGTTCAAAGCTTATTCAAGTGGACTAAGGGAAGTCCAGCAAAAAAAGTTAAAATAAAGTTAAGGTTAATCTGAGCTATCAAAAATAAATTTTGAAAGAAAGAAAACCCACTAACTGTGTCGTCAGAGAGGATGGGGTGTGATGGAAAGAGTTTCAGCATCTTTCCCCACTACAATGGCCACAGGCCATGACCACATACTCTTATTTCTATAGTTGCAACCCATACTAAGCAGTTATCCTGGTGGCTACCTAAGAGTTACCAGACAACCATGCAAAAATTGAGTAATTTTTATAAAAGGTTTATTGTATGTTTTGTTATGTGTATGTGTGTGAATCTCTGTGTCTGTCACATGTGTGGAGGCAGAAGAAGGTGTCAGATCTTCTGAGATGGTATGTCAGGTAGTTATGAGCCACCCGTTACGGTACTGGGACTGAAATCAGGCCCTCTGGGACAGGACCAAGTACTCTTTTTTTTAAAAATATTTTATTTATTTATTATGTATACAATATTCTGTCTGTGTGTATGTCTGCAGGCCAGAAGAGGGCACCAGACTTCATTACAGATGGTTGTGAGCCACCATGTGGTTGCTGGGAATTGAACTCAGGACCCCTGGAAGAGCAGAGAATGCTCTTAACTACTGAGTCATCTCTCCAGTCCTATGTTGAATAATTTAGAAGTTCAAGTTTGGCTCAGTTTCTGTGTTGGCATCTGTCTCAGCTCTCAGAGTCACACCCTGTTGTGTCCTCTGTATCACATATGGCAGAAAAACCTGAAAACCACCTTTTAAGGGTTCCTTTACTCTGCCAATGGGAGGAGGTATAAAAGGCAAAAGGTGGGAACTAAGGAAAGGTGTGGAATATTCCTTTACACTGTGTAAAGATGTGCCACTGTGATGAGTAAGGAGCCGAATGGCCAGTAGCTAGGCAGGAAGCAGTTAGGTGGGATTAAGGGGACAGAAAGGAAAGAAGAGGGCATGAGAATCTAGGCATTGGAGAGATGCCAGGGGACATGGAGGTACAAGATAAAGAGAGCTAAAAATCCACGGGGCAAAAATGTATATAAATGGGTTAATTTATGTTATAAGAGCTAGTGGAACAAGCGTAGGCTATAGGCTAAACTTTCATAATTAATAATAAGTCTCTGTGCTGTTTTTTTGTGAGCGGACTGGTCAAAGAACAATCTGTCTACAGAAAGCTGCTATTTTCTTTTTTCTTTAGCAGCTAAAGGAGCAAATGACTGTGGGCGCCAGAGATGAAAGAAACTAGAAATGAAATAAGTTTTTCAACTCTTTATTTGCCCTCTGAGATTTTTTTTTCTCAATTGAAAATAGATTCTTCTCTCATAGGATGTATCCCAATCACAGTTTTCCTTCCTTTTGTTACTCCCAGATCCTCCCACCTTCCTTCTCCGCCAGATCCACTCCCCATCTGTTTCCTTTCAGAAAGGAGCAAGCCCCCAAGAGACACCAACCAAACCTGACAAAACAAGATGCAATAAAACAAGGCAAAAGCCTTCATATAGAGGCTGGATGAAGGAACCCAATAGGAAAAAGAGTTCCAAGAGCAGGCAAAAGAGTCAGAGACATCTCTCCCACTGCTAGGAGTCCCACAAAAGTACCGAGCTATGACTTGATGTGCCATGCTTTGTGCAAGTCCATGGGAGACCTGTCCTTTCCGAATGGAGGAGGAGGAGGAGTGTATGGGGAGGGAGAGTATATGGTATATGGGAAAGGGGAGAAGACTGGAAGAGAGGAGGGGAGGGGAAATGTTTGTTATGTAAAAATGTTATTTAAATAAAAATTATATTGTGCCTGATATTGTAGAAGTAACTCCAGCAATCGTGAGTTTGTGAGTACAATGACCATACCACTCCCAGCAGACAGCGTTTCCTAATGCTCCCACCCATTGTTTTGCTCTTACATTTGTTTGCCTCTTCTTCCCTAAGCCTTGGTGGAAGAAGGGTGGGAGGGACATTCTTCCTGAAATAGATCAAATGCCTCATTTAGGACTGATTACTCAATTTCTTATTCTCAACACATCTAGCACTCATGAGTTCTTGAGTTAACTGTTGGCTAATGCATAAAGAAGCTTCTCTGACCAAAGCTGAGAGCAGGAGAGGTCTATGGGTATTAAAACAAGCATTTGGGGCTGTTTGAAAAAAATGACCATTTAGTAAAATAACAACAGTAGGTTATACTTTAGAGCCTATTAACTTCCCAGCCAGGGTTTTTGAAGGTTCACAGGACCAGGGATGAATTGCCTCCTCTGTAGAGTCCTCAAATCCAATCAGAAAGCTCTTGGTTACTCCATAACAGTCAGGCCAATATTGTATCAGTGTGTGCTTCTTTCCTAGTAAGTAGGTGTAGGGCATGCAGGTCTAGTACTGTTTAAAGAACATTGATGTCTTTTTTCCTTTAGTAGTATGTATAGTACTTTCTGGCATTATGAGAGCTAACTAGAAAGGAGGACGCTTCCCAGTCCGTTTGAGATTGGTTACTCGAGGCCCTGCAACCAAAGCGTGTAGTATCTTCAGCAATAGGCTGTTATTGTATTGTTGTGGTGGTAACTCCTTTTTTTATGTTTTCCACAGTTCTTAATGGACAATGCCATGTCCTTAGACAGTACTGAATTAAAGTTAATTAAAAGTAAGTACAATTCTTGGCCTAAAGCTTGAAATGTGTTTACAAACGTTCAAGATTGCATATGGAAAATGTAACAATATTATGGTATAGTGTAAACTGAGTAGAAAATGTTAATTATAACTAGAAAAAGACAAGTATAAAAATAAGCAAATTTCTATTTCTAGAGGCATCTAAAAACAGAAAACTGAGAAAGATGTCATTTTTGCTGGGATAAACTGGTCTCAAAATTGAGATCACCTTTCTTTCCAACTATCTCTTTCTGGCCCATTTATATCATGCATATCTCCAAAGTTATTATGCTCTTTTAAGTAGGAGAACACCAGAGAGTTATCTTCAATTAACCCCAGTGCACCCACCTGATAGCTCTTTTCCTGATGGGCTGTTCGTGCACTTGATAGGCAAACTGTAGTGGGAAATATTTTAGGCGTGGGAAATATTTTAGGCTGCCGTGTCTGGCCTAAGGCGGATGTATCTTCCACTTGGGCCTGCTGGCATCTGTTTAATCGCTGCAGGAGGCATCTTCCATATGAATATGCAAAGACTAAAAGAACTTGTCCATCAAGATTATGCCTCAGATTTTAGAATATGAGTTTCCTACAGAACTGATCCCAAACTAAAACTGACCCTCAGCAACAGCTGAGACTGTGCATTCTCTTCCACATTAAAAAGTAATGCCTAATGGCTTTTAGTCCTCATATTTCATAATTGATTAAAATATTTAATTTTTTTTGTTTGCAAAATTTTAAACAGCACAGCTAGAGCAGTGAAAAAGCTGTTTTTTCAGAGGAGCTAGATTTCCTTCCCAGCTTCTACATAGCAGCTCACAGCCCTTTGTGACTTTAATCCCAGCAGACCTAGTGCCTCTGCTGACCTCCCTGGGCTCTCGCATGATATATTGCATGTGCACTCAGACATACGCATGTAAAAGAAAATAAACAAATATTAAAAAGTTCTAAGTAGCTTCTCCATTGAGCCAATGACATTGAGTGTTGCTAGTATAGATTGGGGAGGGGTTTTGGAGTCCCACCTCTACCTGAGGAACTTTGACAGTTGATGGATGTTGGAGTAAGGAGAACCAGTTTTCTTTAGGGAAATGGTCCTGCTGTGTTGCCCATGCTCCAAGGGATAGCCCTACTCCTGTGCACATAAGAATAGCAAAGATGGACATGATGTTAGGAAGGGACCATGGTGGAGCCTGAGAACTGGAAGGTGAATTGATATAATCAAAATATATTGTATATAGGTATAAATCCTCAAAAAAGGAATTTAAAAAAGACAAACCAGCCATGCTAGGAAGGAACATTTTTATTTATGTGTAGTCATTGTACAAAATGACAGATTTCGTGATGGCATTTTAATATTTCATGGTCATATTCACCCTCATGGCCTCTTTCCTCCATCTGGTTGACTTACTCTTCCCAAATAGTTCTCATTCTGCTTTCATGTGTTTTTATTATTATTATTTATTCACGTTTTTTAGACCTAGAGTCACAGTGAGAAAAATATGCAATATTTGTATTCTGGATCTGACTTAATTTACTTAACATGATGACCTCTAGGTTCATCTATCTTCTTGTACAAGGTATAATTTTCCTTCGTTATGACTGAATATTATTCATTGAGTCTATGTGCAGCCTTACCCTCCCTATTCTCCTGTTAATGCACAGCTAGGTTGTTTGCATGTCTTTTAACATTTATTCCATTTGCTTTTACTTTATTGTGTAGGTGTTTTGCCTACATGTGTGTCTGTGCATCATTCACATGTAGCGCCTATGAAGACATTGGTTACCCCTGGAATTCAAGTTACAAACAGGTGTACAGCACCATATGGGTGCCGGGAATCAAACCCGGATCTGAAAGAGCAGTCATGCTCTTAACTACTGGGTCATCTCTTTAACTCATAAGATTCAGGCCCTTTAAAAACAACAAAAATAGGTTCTCACTGTGTAGCCCTGACTGTCCTGGAACTCACTCTGAAGTCCAGGCTGGCCTTGAACTCATATCTGCCTGTCTCTGCCTCCCAGGTGCTGGAATTAAAGTCATGTGCCACTATGTCCCATTCCATATCTTGTGTATTATAAATACTGCCACAATAAAATGAATGTACAAGTATTTGTATGCCATTCTGACTTAAACTCCTTTGGGTACATGCTCAGGAGTGGAATAACTGGGGTATATGCTCATTCTCCTTTGTTCTCTTGAGGCCCATGCTGATTTCTACAGTGGCTTTACTAATTTAAATTCCCTCAACCTACTCACAAGCATTTGTTATTTGTTTTATAATGATAGACATTATGACTAGGGAGAGGTGAAAAACTATGAAGTTTTGATTCACATTTCTTGATGGGTAAGAGTGTTGATCATTTTTCATGTACTTATAGAATATTTATATTTCTTCTGAGAACTATCTATTAAGTTCTTTTGTTCCTCATATATTGGATGACTTGTGAAGTTTCTTTGTGTTTATATTTTGAGTTATTTATGTATTATTTTCACTGTCTGATAAATAATTGTCCAATGTTTTCTCCCATTTTGTAGACTGTCTTTACTCTGAAGGAAACCCCTTGTTGTACAGAAGTCTTTATTTTATGTAATCCAATTAAAAATTTCCCTTTATTTCTATGTATACAGGGGTTTTGCCTACATGTATGTCTGTGTATCACATGTATGCAAGTGTCTGATCTCCTGGTACTGTAATTACATACAGTTGTGAGGCACCATGTGGGTACTGGGAATTGAACCTGGGTCCTCTGGAAGATCAGGATGTACTCTTAACAGTTGAGCCATCTCTCCAGCCCACCATCCCAGTTTTTAATTCATACTATTATTTATTGGGCTGTTGGGACCCTTTTCATAAATTTCTTACCTATGCTTTTATCTTAAGGAAGAAGCATAAAAGTAATATCTATGACTCGATACAATATTTTAACAAGGGATTAACATATATATAGCACTAATGAAATTTAGCACCCAGATGATCTCAGAACTTTTAGTGGTCTAGTCAAATTCTACAGAATCAAATGCTTGAAAATTTTGATAACCAATTTTGTATTCCTCTGAAAATGACAGTTTTTCTTTGTGTTTTTTTCCCCCACCTAATGGTATAGCTATACCAAAGGAACTATCAAGGCATTTCACCAGGTAACCAGATATATAACCAAATACCTCAGTCAGAAAAACAAAGGCTGGTTCCTCGTTTGTGTGTGTGTGTGTGTGTGTGTGTGTGTGTGTGGTCTGTATGTACGTGTGTGATGCTGAGCATTTGCATTAGGCCATGAAGGCAGATTATTTAAATTGTAAGTCTTGTAGTGTCACAATAATTGACTTTGAAGCATGGTGACTTGCGTATCTCTATCTTTCAGTTATCAGTAAAGCCGTCTACAACTCCCATCCCAGCTGCTTAGAAGCAAACCTAGAAAATAATAATGGTTTGCTACAAATAGCTGTTAACTAAAGAGCTCGTTTTCTAGAATCTTAAATTTAAGTTATTACAGCTTTATTCTTCACACAACATCTTTCATTTATTCATTCTTTTGCTATTTTTGTACCTTTGCTAAAATATATGGAGCGTGTACCCTGCTGTGAGATATGTGAAATACTGGACACTGCAAGGTGGATGAGCAATTATTAGAGCTCCGTCAGCTTCTAAACAGAGGGACAAGCTTCATGCCTGGCAAGAAGAAGAGTGGAAATGCATCCAGGAGGGAGCCTGTCTGCCGGGGCACTGAGATGGAAAATTCACGTATGTTTTCTTTTCTGAAGGATGCTTAGAATGAATCTGAAACAGTGAATAAGTCTACAAGCTGGACAGGAGACAGCGCACAGGGAGCAAGTCTTATTAAAGAGACTCAGGTGAAAGAATTGTGGATGGCCTATGGAAGGAAGAGCCTGTCATACGGGGAATAGTGAGGACAGAGCCACAGCAGGACCCGCCTTGGGGTCACCCAGGGAAACAGATTTTTCGGTGTCTTTTGTGTCATGATAAAGGGACTGAACTTTGGTCTAAAAATCAATGTTGAAATAATTAAGAGTTCATGCGAAGTAACATGAAATTTACAAATTACCTAGCCTGGTAAGACTTTGTTTAATCTTTAGAATGTAGAAAGTGTTAGTTACTTCTAAGGTTCCCCCGTCAACATTTGACACATTTGCGTACCTTATAACCTGTGGCAAAGGTCAGTTGTTGCTATCTACTAGCAGCTTCTGCCGACTCTGTACTCACTTCTTTAAATACTTTACAACAACTAAGTAAATATATCTGGGTTTGGTTCTGATTTTGAAAATAGAACAATGAAAGTAATATGTGTCTCTGTACTTTCCATTTCTTGGTTTCAATTTTTCAGCTGTATGTTGAAATTTGATTATCATTATTTTTCAGAGTCTATGGAAGTTTTCACAGAGATTTCAAGATAACAGAGATAACAACGGCTTGTTTTGCTGTTTTCCTGCATTCAAAAGCAGATACCCACTATGCACACTTTGAAGTTTTTCATAAGGTTTTGAAACAGGAGCTGTTTCATGGAGGCTGCAGATTTGCATATAATAGCGTAAAACAAACTTTTGACAGAGAGAAATGGATTGCACATGAAAGACGGTAAAGGACTGGCCTCATCGCTTCATCTCCTGACCTCACCAAGCAAGAATCTTCTCCAAGCCATGAATAATCATGCGGATTTTACCTCGGCAATGCTATCAGGGAGGCAAAAGATGGAACAACAAAGCCTTTTGACATCCGGCAGGAGTTATGGATCCCATTCTGGCATGAAGCACCAGGGCAGATTCATACGTCCAGCGCATGTCTAAACCTCACCAAAGTACAGCAGAAGACAGACTTGTTGGCTTTATCAAGAGCTACATTGTTTGAAGGTTAACAAGCAACTAATGCTTTATTTTTAAAATATTAACTATAAAGGTATGTGGGTTTTATTCCCACTTTAAGTGTTACCTATAGGCAGCAGAGTGTTAAATGATTTAATGAATTTTAGGGCAAAAACTGAAAAATTTCCTTCACAGTATACAGGAGTTATGGGAAGGTAATGTCAGATAATTTCAAGTTCAAAGGCTTAATTTGAATGTATTCATTAATTTGAATATAAAACTTTTACGAATATCTGTTATGTGGCACTGAATGTTATTTAAGCTACAAAAATAAAAATGACAGACATATAGACCAATGGGACAGAATAGAGATTACAGAAGAAAACTCTTGCATCAGCAGCCAGTTGATTTTTGACAAAGGTGTTAAGAAAATGCATTGGGAAAAGAGAGTATTTCAGCAAATATTGCTGGGAAGTTTGGATAGCCACATATAGATAATCAGAACCAGATCCTTTTCTTTTTCTGTATATAATAATTAACTCCAAGTTGATTAGACACCTACATGTAAATCGTGAAACTATGACATTACAATAAGAAAACATAGAGGAAAGACTTCAGGACATTAGACAAAAAACACAACTGCAGACTAACAAATGGGACTTCATGGAATGAAACAGATTCTGCACAACAAGGGAATAATAAAGGGGAAGGATTTAACACATGGGTTAGAAGAACACTCTTTCCAACAAACATCTGACAAGTCTCGATAGACTATACACAGAACTCAAATAACTCAACAGCAAAACATGAAATAATCCTATTAAAAATATGCAGCAGACCCAAATAGAAACGTTTCAAAGGAAGATGTCGATGTGGACAACATATTCTCAGGACCACTCTTCACCAGGGAAACTAAGGTCAAAATCACTCCCAATGAGCTATAACTTCAGTAGTAAAAACAGCTGCCATCTGAAGATTAAAGTGAAAAGCATTAGTGAGCGTGTGTGTGATGCGAAGGAGAGAGACCCTCGTGTACATTGGTGGGATTGTAAATTAGTATAGCTATAATGCCAAACAGTGTGGCAGTTCCTTAAAAAACTAAAATAGAGGTGCCAATGACGTAGTAATCCTTCTTCTATGTGTATTCAAAAGAAAAGAAAACAGTATTGGAAGGATCATCTCCATGTCAAGTTCAATGTGGTCTAATTCACAGGATCCAAGAATGAAAAGAACCCAAACAACCATCAATTGACACATGGAAAAAAAAACTACCTATGTACAAGAGAATGATGTCCACGAAGGATGTGAGCTCGCCACTGTGACACAATGGCTAGAAGTAGAGGTCATTGTGTTGACATAAGCTAGATACAACTACCCCATGACAGCACTCAAATGTGGAATCTAAAAATGCTGCTCTCACGGTAGGTGAGGATGAGATGTGGGTTGTCAGATCCTGGGGTGAATGTGTAGGCAGAGCTATGGGGAAGGGTTAGCTGGTGAATAACAAGTTATTGTTAGAAGTAAATACTGTTCTGGTGTGTTGGTGCAGAGCAAACAAAATATAAATTATATGGATAATTACAACATGCTATATGTTTTTCCCTAAAAGTTAGAAGAAAGGATTTTGAGGGTTTTGACTGTACAGAGGTGATGGATGTTTGAGGAGATTACCCAGATTTTAATATTACTAAATATGTATATGAAACAAAATATCATCTTGTAACCTGTAATAGATACATGTTTTCGTATTATTTAAAGTAATAATGAAAAAGAAGTTTAAGTGTTAATTTAAAACACTAAGAATGGTTCTCGATTTTGGAGTTTGTAGTTGGTTTTGAGTTTTGAAGGTGTTTCTGGGGAAGAGATTCTGTGTAGAGAATATAACAAGGATGAAGTAAAGTTTGTTTTCTTGCTAGACAGAGCTAGAAATATGAAGTTTATTGGATAATGGCTGACAAAATCAAATAGAAATACTTATTTTTTTTGTCAGCGAGATAGAAATCACCATCAATATCAAATAAAACTTCTATCCATAAAAAAACAAAAAAGATCTTTTAAAGACACAGCTTCTTCCTATCTTCCCCATGGAAGCTATATCATTCGCTCTCTTGGTTATTTTCTGGGGTGCATTTCCACATCCTTCCCACAGGAAGCAGACATGCTCTTGGTTAAAGATAACTAAGTTGAGCACAGGATGTTTAAACTCATGATGTTTGGAATATGTGCTGACAGGTCAAGGGTACAGAAGAAACCTTTGCAGAGTTTGTTTGTGGCTTAAAACTTAAGTGTAGCTTTATGAAGTTGAATAAAAACCACTGCAAAATAAGATAAGAAAAGAGTTTGATTTAAAATAGGTTAAGAAGGAAGAACCTGGCTTAAAAAAAAAAACAAAAAAACAAAAAAAAAAATAAAACCCCATAGAATCTCACCCAGACAGAGGGCAGCTGAAGCAGTTTTTCTAATTTATATGAAAATGTGAGGTGTCTTAGTGTCCTTATGGGTTAGCATTCAAATCACTTCTACACAGTGATAACCCATTCATTTAAATTATGCTCAGAAAGGCAACCCGATGGTAAGAAGTTCTTTGGAATCTGCATAAAGTTCTAGAATAACTTCCAAATTTTGCTTTTCTGCATGTGGATGAGTTGATGTGGTATCTGAAATACGGAAGGAAGGCACGTGCCTCTTTCCTGACTTTGGAATGGCTGACTCAGTGTCTGAGCTATGGACTGGGTACGCATAGCCTGTGCCCGTCCTTTAAGGCATTCATTCCCACCCAGCACTGCGGCCTCCCAAGTGGCTCTGTAACACATCCCAGTACCTAGCTGCTGTCTGTCATGGCTGATCTGAGATCTGACCATAAACTCGGAAATGTTTTCATTTCACCTCATGGTTATATGCGATTATACTAGGAGGAACACTTTGTACTGGGCAGTTTACGGGACAACGGAAAAGCCTTGCTGAACACCTTTTTTATGCTTATTGAACACCTGTGCTCCCATGTCTTTATTCCTAGGATTATTTTGTTTAATACAGTGATCTCTAGTTAGATTCATTTTCCTATAAATGCCATGTTTTCATTTTTTTCTTTAAGCTAATAGCATTCATTGAGTATTTGCACCACATAGTCTTTATCCATTTGTCTGCCAATGAGAATTGAGATTTTATTTCCTGGCTGTTGGGAACAATGCAGCTAGACACACAGATGTATAAAAATGTATTGCTATGTTGACTTTGATATCTTTGGATACGTACTTGAATTTCATAGCTAGGCAATATGGTAATTCTATTTTTTTTCTTTTTAAAAGAAACTGTACACTGATTTCCAAAGTAGTAAACAAGGATTTCTCTTTCCCTATGTCTTTGCCCACATTTATTGTCTCATGTTTCCTTGATAGTTTTTTTCTCTGTGTGGACAGACTTTTAAAGCAGGTTTCATTTGCATTTTTCTAATGGCTGAAGATGAATAAACAAAAAATTCATCTATGAAAAAGCCCCCCCTATTTCAAAATGGGAGAAAATGATCAATATTTATCTCACATGGAATTATTTACAATTTATTTAAAATATTTTATCTTCATGTGTGGTATATATAAGGCAGCTTTTATGAGTGTCTGCTTTTAATTACTAATGACCTTTACCGTTTGTTTAATAGAAACATATTTTTACAATGTCCATCAACTGAAGCCTAAATAAAATAAACTGCATTTTATTATGATCTATTACACTGTGATTGATGTGAGCCCATGAGATGGCATTTCCGTCCTTAAGATGCACAATGTGCTCTTTTGCTATTCTTTTCTAGTCTTATCTGTTATGTCAAAAGCATGATTTGGGCAGTTCTTCACCTACAGTCGTCCTACTCATGGTATCCCTTTGTATCGGCTGCCAATACCTGTACCACCCTCTCTCTCTCTGGGAATCCACTGGTCATGCTAGTCAGGGAATTGCTCTCCTTCCTACCTTTGGCCGCCATTTCCAATTCTCCAAGATTATCTTTAGTAACAAGCCCCCTGCTGAGGTCTCTTAGTTGTCTCTTCTTCCCTTCCCTGGGGAACCACACAAATCCAGACTTCTTTCCTTCTGTGTGCCCTCTCAGCCTCCCTACCCTACCCAGTCCATCCCAATTCCTTCCTGTCATCTCAAAACACCTAGAAGCGCATTCTATCTGGGCCCCCAGTAATAACACCTGGCAAAGACTCAGAAATACTGCCTACCAGGAAACATACAGCCACTCCTTTCCTAAGATCCAGAAAGACCAATAGAAACCAAGGAGTGAAGAACCCATAGTTCAAGGCATGAGGTGAAAATGGACTCACTAAAGAAAACCCAAACTGAGGGAAAAATTTCGGAACTCAAACAGGAAACTCAGAGTCAAGGCTTCCCAGCAGAACACAAGAATGGAAGAGAGAATCACCCCAGGCACTAAAGACAAAATAAGAAATGGATATCTCAGTCAAAGAAAGTTTTAAATCTGAAAACATCTAGCCATAAAACATTCAGGAACGATGGAAAACTGTGAAAAGATCAAATCTATGAATAATAGGAATACAGGAAGGAGAAGAAACCCAGGTCAAAGGCACAAAAAATATCTTTAACAAAATCATAGAATAAAGTTTTTCTAATGATCAACAAATGAAGAATTAGTTTTCTTCAACGGTGTCTTAATTTGTACACAACCACTCTTAAGGTCAGCTCCCATGCTCAGCAGTAGATGGCAACAAAAAATGAACTAATTCAGTGACATTTTTGGAGGTCTTTGTTTTATAATCATTTGTCAGGACTTTTCTTTTCTTCTTCTTTTTTATATTTTTTAACTTTACATATCCTTTGTGTATATATTATGGTTTACAGTTCCATATTGTTATAGGATTTCTGTGTGTAGAGAGAGACAGAAATGGATATACTTACAAAAAACAGAATGATTACAAATTTCTCTGAGTTGTTTCGAATTTTTTAATGGAAAGATTTATTAATTATTAGAATGCAGAAAGTTTCCCAGTGTACGTTGAAATATTTTGGAATAATTCAGTCATTATGAATAAAACGACAAGCATGTTCTCAACCTAAGATAATGAAGTTGAACTTCATTTTGCAATGAAGGTGAGTCATCAAAATATTTATATTTCAAGGACTGCATTCCAGAGACTTTCTACTGTAACAAAATTGAGGCCAGTTAGATGTTAAACTAGCATCGTATTGATTAAAAATGTTAGCTGAAGAATATAAATCTTTAAAAAACCTTAAGGCAACATATAACTCTTCCAAATTGTAAGATGCCCAGATTTGTATCTTTTCCATTGTCTTTATATTTGCAAAGTTCATAGAAAATAGAGTTGGCATAATGAAACAAATGTTGAGTCACCTGGACATTTAAGCAGACTACTGTTGTCCAATGCTTTCTGAGGACGGGCTGTCTGCCATAATGTTTCATTTCTATATAGGAAGGAGTGGATGGGTGTACTTTACGGAGGGAAGACTTGCTGGGACAAGTCAACAGATTCTGAAAACCTGTGATCATAAGAAAGTATGAATTCAGAGTCCATTCTACACTTACTAGAAAATGATCCTGGAATACTTTAGGAAGAAACGTTAAACTCAACAAATTTATCGCTTTCTTTCCACTCAAGAGTAATATCTGGTTTAAGAGACACATGTTTGTGTTTCCACTACACAAAACTTTAATGATCCTTTTTATTATTAGTGGAGGTGGGTGAATGGATTAACTCAGAAAAGGGTTTTGTGGCATTTAAGCTATTGTTTTAATCAGGTATTTCTATTTTCCTTGATAGTGCATATCACAAATTTTTCTGTTGAGTAGCAAAACTTCAAGAGAGCAATACTGTGCCATCTATTCTTAATCTATTATTATCAATTCATAAGTGCGTGTGTCCTTGGAAGTTGCCAGAAACTACTTTTCTTTTCCACAACACAAATGAACTTTATTGGAATCGCAAGTAATTAGCTTCTCAAGTAATTGATTCTGTGGAGGAACAATACTGGAGGACCACATTCCCACTTCCAGCTATGATATTAAGCAGACAATAATATATCCTAAGTTTTTGTGATTCTGCTATTCTGTACACGTATCGCTGTGCCTTGGGTCCACCTTTTTAACAGGGACTCAAGAGAAAAGGTTGCTTGTTTGCAAGTAAGATCGGTAATGGCTCATCTGGCTGTGATGCAGAGGCAAAGTGCTGATTGTGAGAGTCAGTGCAGAGGGCTCTGTGCTGAGTGACCCAGCATAGAGAACTCTGTTAATGTGAGTGCTGGATGTTTTCGCCAGCCCGCAGACCTCGTTAGGGGAAGTTCTCTAGTTTATGACTCCCCAAGCAGGAAGAAGTCAGCATGACCAACAGCACTGTGCAGTTTATTATCACCCAAGTACTGCAGCATCTGCTAAGAGAGGCACAATTGGGATTGAAAAATGAACAGATACAGACCATCCAGCAGTTTGAAAGAAGCCTCTTCACTTTTCACAAATGTTCTCACTGAGTTGAAGCAGTGCTTGTCATTAGCCCGGCACACCAAGGATGAGAGAGAAAAAACAGTTGCGTTAAAGAAAGAGCAACGCTTCTGAAAAAGCAAAAACACTTTCAGTTTTTCTCCCTTGGGTCCCAAGACAACACCGTACACTCTGGATCCACCTACCTTTACTCATGCCAGCTTGTAGAATATTTTTCAGGAAACGACACTAGTCAGTCTCCTCTCCGGATATTTAGGAAGAAAATGGGGAGGGAGTTCTGAGACCAAATTAACTGCCTATCCCCAGCAGGATCTTGAGGTCCTTTGCTCCTTTGTCATGTCTTTCTTCCACAGCAACACCCCTCCCCCATTTATTCTTAAAGTTTTCTTCATTAACTTCAGTGCCTGGACCATTTCTCCTCAGTCATTTTACTGAAGGTGTTGTCTGTGGCTGCTGCTCAGTTGCTTGCTAAAGTACTTCCCCATGTGCCCTGTGTCTTATGAAGAGCTCTGTTTCCTGGGACGTGGCTCTTTCTTCTACAGTTTCTAGTTTCTACCCAGTCTCTGTGCTAAGCTCCTTCTTTGGAAGGAAAAGAAAGCAATCTGGAATGGATTCTTTGGACATTGGGTATGAGAATTAGCATGCCTATCCAGTTCTTTCTGGAAATATTATGATATGCCATCGTGTATAGAAGACTAAAGATTGACAGTTAAAACCACACCCTGGGAGCTGGAGAGATGGCTCAGATGTTAAGAGCATTGCCTGTTCTTCCAAAGGTTCTGAGTTAAATTTCCAGCAATCATATGGTGCCTCACAACCATCTGTAATGGGGTCTGGTGCCCTCTTCTGGCCTGTAGACATACAGACAGAATATTGTATACATAATAAATAAATAAATATTTAAAAAAATAAAAAAAAAAACCCACACACTGTGTGTGGGGAAGCTTGGTTAGTCTAGCCACTTACTAACTCTCACCAATAGCTATTTTTATAGAGCATAATATATCTGCCCATATTTGTTAACCAAATAACAACTGAGTAAAACATAACTTTAGTGACTAAAAGTTTAATTTAAATTTTTACTTAGAGTTAATTATGATATTCCACACTCATTTTCAAATCTGCAGATTTTTCTCATATTTAACTTTGGAAACAGAGCAGTCAAAACTAATATTCATGCTGAAATTTTGTCTTGGTTCCTACTTAATGTCTAAACTTTTTAAAAGAGTATATGTATATGTATGTATATATATACACACACATACATATATGCATATTTATGCATACACACTCTAAACGAGTTTATATCTTAATGTCTATTTAGTGGTTATTTTTGAATTGTGAAAAAATTGGTATCAGTTGAAATTTTAAGGGGACATTACCTATAGTAGAGGCATTCAACATGGAGTTTGTGTCTTAGTGGGGAGGCAGGTGGTCTAGGACAGATAAACATCACTCTAGAATATAGTGTATCTGTGCTAGAGACTGTGTGAGCCATACTTAGAAGACCCAGGAAACAGAAAATGAGACCCAGGGACCTGACAAAACAAAAATAAAACAAGTCTGAGACTCGGGGCTTTCGCGGAGCTGGGGCCCAGGCAGAATGCTAGAGGTGAGCGGAAATGTGCTGCCCTGTGCATCCAGGATGAGTCACTATGGGCCGTACACACTGAGGACATAGAACTTCTCCAACACTTGGCAGGAGCAATGCTGATTACAGCACAGACTCTTACTGATAACTGTCATGTGCCAGATGGTGTTATTTTGCATAACTATTAAGACAATATTTCTTGTGTTCCATCCAGATCACAGGCTCTGAATTAGCTTCCTTGTATGGGGTGGGATGTGTTTAAATCAGGGTATTCAAACTTGAATGTAGATTCTGTTATCGTCAACTATAATTTCATCTCTCTAACGCCTGTGAAGTTGCCTTCATAAATCCAAAGACTGAAACAAGTGACTTTATGTCATTTTTAAATAAACCCGATTAATTGCATACAGTGATTTCAGAGTACAAGAGGAAACACAAAATTTATAGAGAGGTAGGATGTACCGTGATGAGGCAGCATCCACACGGACGAGGAAGTGAAATCTGGCGGAGGAGAGTGGGAGGACTGTGCGGGGCAGAGCGTTTATGTTTTCTCGTTGGTGTGCAGAAATAATAGCTATCTTCTACAATTACATAGGTTATAAGAGATTATGCATATAAAAACCTATGCCATAGTACTCAAATCGACTAATTATTACCTGTG